TATTAATCAACTTCGGTGCTCCTGCAAAATTACAGGAACTATTTCACAGCTGAACCTAATTCCCCCTCCCATTTTTTTTTCTTCATGAAGCCACAAGAATTGGCCCATGGACCCCAAGGTGTATATGTACTATCAATTGAAAATCACTCCTCCACAAAAAACTGGAAGCTTAAAACCCCAGTAATTTTGCTAACAGACTTAAAAGCATCGGGTGTCTTTGTATCTAGGTTTTCCTACTAGATACACCAGGTTCAGATATAACATTAATTTAGAATATATTGGCAGACCAATATTAAATTAATGAAAAGTCCAGGGTGTCCTGTCAATTTCTAATAACTTAACAAGTGAAGGGCAATAAGGTGTTATTAAACTACAAAAAAAATCTTCACATTCATTATTTCATGAAAACTTTGCTATGCCATAGATTGATTTCTGATGTAACTCCACTAATTCAGATGAATTGCATGATATGAATTCAACCTGAGTGACTTCATATCACTCTAATATTAAGTTAGAACCCTTTCTGCCTTTTAACGCATATAAATTTCATCTATTAACTACATGAAAAGTATAATTTGGTAAGCGCAGGCATCTCAAGCGGATACTTCCTCTCTCTTCCTGAGCACCGAATAATTTTTGTTCTACTGGTTTTGGCATTTCAGCCTACAGAAGTTCTACAAGTTCTTCATCAACACCTTTACAGGTAAGGCTGGACAAAGCAGTGACAGTACCTTGCGCTGTTTGTAAGGCAAGGAAAACTTCCCGATCCATCTCAGCCGAGCAAGGCAAACTGCCTTGTTCCACCCAGGAGAGGGCACTCTTATACCTGGCCACGCAACCGGACATGGACATCTATAGGAGGAACAGGAAAGTTAAGATGACATCTTAAAACTCGGTCAACTTGCACGACCAGTTAGTTATTTTGATGATAACGCTAATCCCAGGTAAATTGAATCATCCAGACGCTGCCACAACACAATATCACAATAAATGTGCAGGCTAAGTTTATTCTTAGTCTCTGTAATGTGCTGAATGATATGCAGATAAAAAAGACAATTTCTGCATTTCTTTGTTAAAAGCTGAGATCATAGAAACAGAGTTGTAGGTGTACCTTCCGCAGAAAACCAAGGTTAAATTTAAAAATACCTAGTAGATGAATATTAATTGTTACCCTCTTTTTAAAAATAAAGCACTATTATAAATGAGCATACAAATATTTAAATGCAAAGTGAATATAATCTAATACTAATGCAGCCTGTAAAGTTAATCCTTATATGGATACCTCATGAAATACATAAAATAAGAATTAAAAATGCTACATGCTCAACCCCTGTTTCTAAAGGGATAGAAGTGAATATACATATCTCTTGAGACAGCTTTCCTCTTTGATAAGTAATCCTCCAGCAACAAATAGAGAAGATCAAGCCTGACATTTTTGATTTTTCTAAACTAAAGAAGCCAAGATGAGGAGGTGGTAGTTTTGTAACGCGAGACATAAAACAGTAAAAGAGGAATAGAATGCTGCATACTGCAAAGTTAATGTTTCAAAAACCTAATTTTCCTCTAATCACAGAGGGCAATCTCAATAATTCCAAATTTTCTCTGAGTAATTCTACTAGAAATGTTCTACTGATATTAATAAATATGAATAATATTAGGAAAATATGGAAATGAGAAAAAGATCACCAAGATTCTTAACTTGAAGAACGGAAAGTAAATCATACTCAGTGCTGTAATAAGCATCTTGGAGTCCCCAGGCAGTACACGGGGCTGGGGCCATCCATAGTCTGAGGGAAGAGCCGTGCACATGGGGCTATATTGGATGTACAGTAGTCCAACGCACACAAACTTTGCATGAGCCATAGCCACTTTTCCATGAACATGTGGGGAACTGTTTCCTATATATAGGTTGCATGATAGATAGTACTTCCCACATTACATGGGAAATGACATAGTGTTTAGAAGGTTTGGTTAGCCTAGCATGGGCTGATGAATATTGTTAGACTTTCCATACTGAGAGCTTGGGCTGAGGCCTTACAATCACTGACCCTATCAATTTTCCTCCTGCAATAACCTTACATAGTTTGAACTTCAACCATATCTCCTGCTCCCACTTCCAGAAGTCTTTCAAAACAATATGCCAAACATAATAAACAATGCACAGATACAATTCTGAGTATCTCCCACTCTATTAGCTGTGATCAACACCAATAGGCAAAAGCATAAACCAATCTGCAGCCACTTTGCAAAAGCTGCTATTGAAAGAGTTCAGTATGAGACTAAAATGATTATAGGATCAATGAAAGAACGATCTCCTGATCATATATACTACAATTTTTTTATCCAAAAAAAGAGCTAAGTTCAATGGACTACAGTTGTACATTTTGTACATGGATTTTTCTAAGGGCAAAAGACTAATGAGAACTTAATCCAGGGCTTTATTATCAACATACCATAAAATATATTAGGGAGTCAGACATGGAAGTCACTGAAATCATACAAAGAGGCAATGTTCTCAATTTTTGTCTAAGCATTATCTTTTTTAAAAGCAAAAATAAAACAACAAACAAAACAAACAAACCGAACTCTCCAAAAAAACCAAACCAAACCCCAAAACACCTGTTCAAAATCTATGGTCCTATTCTACCCTAAAACCCTGTAGAATCTTCTGTAAAATAGTTAACTATAAAAAAGTATAAAACAGTATAGGAGGTATAAAACGATACTCGCAGCATGTTGATTATGTAAGGTACTGATTTTTATGTAGATTTTGATTCTGGCAAAACTCACCACTACTCTGTTCTACCAGCCAAAAAGCCTTTCTATATCTGTCTTTCAGCAAAGAGAAAATTAACACAGTATATGGTGAATATGAAACAGTTGTGAGGTAAGTGAAAAAGTGAAAAATGCCTATTCAAGGACAAGGGAAAGGAATGGGGCATACCAAGGAAAATAGATACTGTAATTCATATTAATCTCATTTTTGCAGTAACAGACTCTGACATTTGTATTCCAAAAGAGCATATGAAAATGAAACTAGGTGCAAATGAGACAAAATCATTGCCTTTTACTATGGCTCTTACTGGATGTCTACCACCTATAACATAAAAGCATACTCACAGGAACACAAAGGATTTTAACACTTGATAAAGGTCATGTTTTCCACTCCATTCAGAGCAAAATCTGAATATTGGAAGCTTAGCTTCTTTTTGTGAGCTGTCTGAAAAGACATGAAAGATTTAACCAGGAGATTTTATGTACTACCTTTATTATTTTTGTCTATAGTAGTCATAGTTGCTCAGCACATTATAAACCTAACTTTCATATAAGAGGTAAAAAAGAGTTATCCTTTCTTTATTGGTGAGAGCCGAGGGCAATGAAAAGCCATGGTCTACTTCCTCAAAAGGAATTTAAGACATATCAGTGGAACTCTGATGTCTAAATTATTCTGAAAATGAAGGTCCAAGATCACACTATTAAGTCATTAGAAAGAAACCAGGCTTACTGCAAAATGGTCCTTTTCATAAAGGTATTGAAAATCTCAGCTGAAAAACTGGATTGAATAATACATTTTAAAGTTTTCATCTGAAAAAAATAATTTGATGAATAGAATCACATGTAATACATTTTTGCAGAAAATCGGGCTTTTCCCAGTCAAACTACAGGGAAAGAGTAAACACGTTAGAGGGACTATATGCATCTGTATGTATTTGACAGATTTTAAGAATTTATTGGGTTTTTTTGTTGCTTGGGTCTATACTTACTTTATAGTGTATATAATAGTCAAAATGCTGTGCGTACTAATGGAGATAAATGAAAAGTGCTTGCAGATAACAGCACTACCAGAAGTCGACATTTGTTGAGAAAAATGTCTATGTTGTATGTTGTCCTGCACTGCACCGTTAAAATGGGGCCCTATAAAATGTTTCTGTAAACCTTAATATCTTGAAAGCCTCTAATTCCTGAATAAAGTTCAAAATCCAATCTCATGTTCTCCTCTGAAAACCTATGCTCTTGGATAACATGTTATTTTATACACCTCAGAAGTTATGGTTACTGTTACCCTATTACAGATTTCAGAACAGAAGCAGTATTCCATGTTTGCCTCTGCAATAAAATGCCCATTGGAGAGGGCTGACCTTTGCCTTTTACTCTACTTTTAAAACATTGTAGCAGAATCTGTGAAAACAAGCAGTTCCTTTCCCTGTCCCCATTAAGTAACCTGGGCCTGCAAGTTCCCCTGGTCCCATGTGAGGAGGCACCCGCGTCTCCAGGGGGAGCGGGGAAGAGGACGAGGAACGGGTCTGGGAGGGAGACATGTAAGGAATAACATTTTTCTCTGCCGAGCATAATAGCCAAAAATTACACGAGAACCGCTGTTAGGGGCCCGTGTGAGCAGATTCTCAAGTTACGTGAGAGCTCCCTGGTTCTTTTTGCTCAGGGGCTTCACCAGCAGACATACCAGCTGCTCCTTAAGCCAGCTGTTTCCTCAGCGACACCTCAGACATTTCTCCCGCTGCCGTGGACCCGGCCCAGCCCTCCCAAGGGTGCTCCTTCACCCGTTCGCCGGCCCGGTGCCTCAGGGCTCACCCCGCTGCCGGTACAGGGCCGAGCGGGAGCCATGACGATACAACGGCCTCTGCTGTGCCCCGGGGCTGGCCCGCGGCGGGGCTCTGCCTGAGGGGGTAACCTCACGCTCTCGCCACGGACCCGCCCGGCCCGTGACAGGCCGAGCGGCTCGGGCAGGTGTCCCCCGGGACAGGCGGGTGGGCGGCCAGCGGGGCGAGCCCCTGCGCCTCCACAGGTGGGCAGCGCACCCTTCCTTCGGGGTCACGGGGAGGAGGCGGCCCAGAGCGCACAGGCCGCAGCCGCCCCACCCGCGGAGTCCAGCCACGGCCCCCCCGGCCCCGCCGCCGTCCCGGTGCCGCTCCGGCCGCTCTCCCGCGGCCCCTCCTGAGGAGCGGCGGCAGCCCTTTCGCGCATGCTCGGCGCGGGCGCCATTTTGGTAGGGCCGGGAGTTCTCCAGCGGAGCGGCGGCGGAGCTCGCTGGGCCCGGCGCGGAGGGGGCGAGGGGTGCCCGCTGCGGAGATGGCCAACATCGCGGTGCAGAGGATCAAGCGGGAGTTCAAGGAGGTGCTGAAGAGCGAAGAGGTCAGAGCCTCTCCCCACTCCCCCTGCGCGCCGCCGCCACCCTCCCCCGTGTGAGCGTGGGCAGCAGGGGACGGTGCGGGCGCCCCGCCGGCCTTCGCGGGGACCCCGCACCCCCCTCGGCCCCACCTCCCCGTGCTGGAGGTGGGCCCGTCCCACGGCATCTGGGAGGGGAATGGCGATTCCTGGGGAGACGGGCCCCGCCAGCCGTTGGGAGGAGGAGGAGGGGGCCGCGGGAAACGCGGCGGCAGGGCCCGAAGAGGCTGGGCGGGCCGGCCCCCGGCGAAGGCTCCCGGCGGTCGGTGCTCGGGAGCGCCGCCAGGCCGGAGGCCACGGGGCGGGGCGGGTGGGGCCGGCCCGGCCTCCGCGGGGGCCCCCGGCACGCGCCCTCCCGCGTCCGCCCGCGCGGTACCGGGAGGGCCGGGAGGGATGGATGAGGCGGATTGGGAAGGGTGAGGTGGGGGTACGTGATCCCACACATCCCCTTCAGCTGACCCCTTTGGCTCGCCAGTGCCAGAGGCTGCAGGGTACGGGTTTAATGTTTGGGGTTTTTGAGCGGTTGCTATTAAACCCCCATTTAGCTTCCCTGTATACAGAACTTCCTTTATCCCACTGCAGGCTTACTCACCTTCAGATGGATGCTTTTAAAGCCTCACTTATTTCAGTCATGTTACCTCGTTTCCTGATCAGTATGTTCAGAGGTATGTCGTGGTCAGTAAGAGAGGCTGACTACTTTCAGGGCAGCAGTAGAGAAGTTCTGATCAGTTTGGGGGAATATATAGCAGTGTTTGCAGGATTGCATCAATACAGCTTTAGCTCTGTCGGTGTCTGAGTTGGTGGACGTCAGCCAGATAGGTTTTAATGGTTGTGTCGTCATTGTCGTCCTACTTGGGATGATGTTGCAGGTTAGATCCTTGTGAAGTATTAATGCGAATATGTAACTCTTAAAGCTGATGTTTCAGAAATCTGGACATATTCACAGAGAAAAAATTGAGAGGATAATTTTTGGAAGGTACTAATAGCTTAAGAAAACACGTTTAGGGTTGCAGTAGTTGATGTACTTTTAAATTGTGTGCTAATAACATTGTTGCTATGTAGCTTGAACTTACTAGAAAAATGTAAGGGGATTGTTTTATAGCTGCCTTTACAGTCCTGGCTGATTTTGCCAAGCTATTGCACAGCAAATGCAGAATTGCATGGAGACCAAGAGAAATTTCTAGGTGGATACCTTTAAACCAAAGATAGAGAATGTAGACCTCATACCCTGTATAACCAGCTGATACTGTGGAAACAAAGAAGTCTATTTGAAATTGGTTTCTAAAGGCTTCAAAACCCTTTCCCTTTGCTTTATGTAGAAAAAAAAGGAAGAAACCTTAACTTACATAGGTTTTGAGAGAGGTCCATAGTAAATTTTCATACTGTAGAGGTTGGATCTAGTGTGGACATATTTGATTATTTTTGTTTGTTTAGTCTGCAGGACTCAGTTACAGAATTTTGGAAATGGATATTGTTATAAAATAGCCTTTGAGCTGCCTTAAGCTAGCCAGAAGAAAGGTCATAATTCTTATGAAATTTCAAAATCACAATACAGCAGACTCTTGATATTTCCTGTTCTTCTGCCATTAGCAGGCTACCTGAGTGTCATGCTGATATATTCGTATGTATAAAATTGCTGTTTACAGACTATACTTACTCAGTGGTTGTCAAAGTTGAAAGCAAAGTTTTTTGTGAATGTTTGTACATTCTAGGGCAGTCAAACTATGGTGTCATTATCCCTGGGTGGGAAAACATGTGGAGTGGGATGATGAATGAAGGTCCAACTGAATACTACAAATCACAAAATTGAAAAAATAGCAGTTTCCTTGCTATTTACTAAAATTATTATTAAACCTGGTTTCTTCAAAAAGAAATAAATCTTTTTAATGAATGGCAATGCTAAATTTGTTGTTCAGAAGTTTGTAAGTCCCTCTCTGAAGGCTAAGTGGCTCTCATTATCTGTTCTTAAATTATTCTTGATTTAATGCTTTGAAATACTTGAAGAGCAGCCCCTCCTCCCTGTTTCCTGGTAGATGTTATAGGAACAGAAATGCCTGGGAGGGGGGTGGGCACACAGGGAGAAAAGTGCCTAGGAAGTTTGTTATCTATCTTCTTCCACTACTCACCTTTATGCTGAAGTAGAGTGGTGGAACCAAAAATGTTTTTACAAGGGAGCAGCTGGATGGCAGTTAATTCCTTCTGCTGATAGAATCCTTGCTATTCAGGACTAAATATACTTTTCATATTACTTAGCAGTTCCTATTTCCTTGAATACAATTTCTGGGAAGTAACTAAAATGTGAAATACTACCTTGCTCTCTGCTTACAGGTAAGAGATGAAGGATTTTCCATATTTTTAAGTTGAGTCTGAGACTTCTTGAGTGTTTTGTAAAAGTATTTAAAGTCCCCTCACACTTGAAGAAAAGTGCTTCTCCTCTGTTTGCTTTATCATTTCTAGTTTTGTTATAAACACATTATGTTAAGAAGTAAGATATTGTTTATTTAAGAGAGATACTTGTAACTTTGCATCTCTTAAATATTTGAATTAAGTAGATAAAACTAACTAAAGTTTCTTTGTAAGGAGTGCTCTCTAAAGTATGATTTTTCAACTTTTTACTTCTGTGTGTAGTAAGCCTTACAGTTCTAAGGTAGGCGAGGTATTGTGCATTTATAACAAAGATGAAGTTGTTAAGTTAGTCTAGGTAGTAACTTGACTGGATAAATATGTGTAGGCAAGGGATCAGATGTTCCAGTTTATCTTTCTTCTTGTTCTGTCATTTCATTAATGTATTATCTTGTTGGTTTTATGGACTGAAATTTTAAGGCTACAAAATGTATTTTGAACAAAAGTATGAAGCTGCAGCATGATGGAGAACCAATAAAGAGATGGAAGGAGAAGAGTGTACCGCTTTTACTAAGTAGGAAAAAGTTTTAGTGAAGGTTAGCTGGTATTATTTTTAGATTAAATTTTTGCATTGGGTAGCCAAATGCTTACCTGCTCTCTGTTTATAAACAGCTATCTTATGAGAGGGAGAACTTGCCCGGCATTTAATAATGAATAGAAACATATTGAAAGATCTTGTGGTCACTTAAAGACTGATGCTGAGATGTATTGTAATCGGTCAGTATGTTAAACATTATGTGTGACTTGTTTTTGTAATTTAATAAAGCATCAGTGTTTACTTTGAAGAAATTATAGTATGCTAGCAGTGAAGGATTCAATGTTTAATTGGCCATCCACGTTCTTTTATCATGTGGAAATATAAGGTGTTTTCTAGTAATTTATACCTTTTGCAGTGAAAACTGCAATCTGATGTTGAAGGTGACACATTGGGAAACATAGCTTCCTTCTAGCAAGATGAATTGCTGGTATATCTACGATGAAATGTTCTTCTCTTACAAATATGAAGAGACATTTATGGCAGGTAAATCTAGGTAGAGCTGAGAGTAAATTAAACTCAGTTGCATTTATGGAATATGAGTATCTTCATGAACACGTATCTGAAGTATCAGTGTAAATTTGTAACTTGATTGAAGCCAAGACAGCATTCAAGTAAAGATAGGTTAACAACAGAAACTTCAAGTATTTGATTTCCAGGAAGGAAATGAGTGTTTGTTTTGGAGTCTGTTATGTGTTTCAGTGATTTACAGGCAAAAGGGAAGAGAAAAATAACTGTAGTCTGCCATACCTTTCTTAGACTTGTAAAGACCTAGTGAGTAGCTCTCATGGTGGCTTTTACCATTGTCTGTAGTGGTCTTGTGATTTATATCAGTATGTAGCAAGACACTAAGTAACATCTCTGAAAATTTCTTGCTCTTTGAAAAAGCCATAGATATTTAATCTTCAGGCTCAGAAAAACTTCATTGCTTTAGTTTGTTTCTGTTTGGGCAGTCTTGGGTGCTAGATACTGAATTTACTAATGTGAAGACTTCTAGTTGTAGTTGTGCTTTGGTGTTAGTAGGATTCTTGGTTTTCTTCCTGTTTATCATGTAGAATCAATGCAGGTATTTATAACAATGAGATGTCTTCTATTATGATTGCTGAGTCAGCAACATTTTTTTTTTAAACAGTATCCATTTTATGCTGATACATGTGCTTAACTTTTGAATTGTAAGAATAGTCACATTGAAGTCAGTAGAGGTTTAGTGAGTGCAGTGGAATTGTTGTCATTGTTTAATCCCAGGGAGTCAGCTAAGTACCATGCAGCTGCTCAATCAGATGCTCCACTCCCTGAACTGAGCTAGGAAAGAGAATTGGAAAAAGGTAAAACCTGTGCATTAAATAAGAGCAGTTTAATGATTTAAATAAGGTAAAATATAGTAATAATAATGAAAAGGGAGTTTACAAAAAGAGAGAGAGGAATAAAATCAGAGAAAGACAAGGGATGTCCAGTGCAATTGGTCACCCCCTGTTCATCTGTTCCCAGCCCATCCCAGCAGCAATCAGCAGCTCCCAGCCAATCCCCCCAGTTTCTATGCTGAGTATGACATTCTATGGGAAGGAGCATCCCTTTGGCCAGTTTGAGTCAGCTGTCCTGGCCATGCACCCTCCTGGCTTCCTGTGCATGTGCTTGCTGGCAGAGCATGGGAAACTAAAAAGTCCTTGACTTAGAGTAAGCTGTACCCAGCAACATCAGTGTGTTATCAACATTATTCTCAGACTAAATCCAAAGCCCAGCCCTGTACCAGCTACTAGGAAAAGAATTAACTCTGTCCCAGCCAAAAGCAGGACAACTGTTTGGGAATAAAACTTGAGTGTACTTGGTCAATTAAAAGGCATAAAGGTATAAAAAGGTGTAAACATAAGAATATTTTAAATGTCATTATTATATTGGTATCAGTCTCTCCTCAGTCTCTCAGAAGGCCTGCATGTGATTAAGAAAGTGTGTGAGGAGGGTTTTAGCACACTGGAGCTTGGGCTACTATGCAAGAAGGGCTCTTAGTAGGCTGGAGAAATCAATGTCCTGG